GCGTTTGCATCTGCAGTTTCCCACCTCAGTGCCTTTGCACATGTCCTTCCCTCAATCCAGAAAGTTGCTCCCGCTACCTCAGCCTTCCTTTGCATAACTGGCTTCTTATTCCAGCTTTGGCCTGAATATTGGCTTGTCAGAGAGGGCTTGGAGGGGTCTTCAGTGTTCATGGAATCTGGAGTAGGAACCCCAGCGTGCTCTGGTTGTCTCCTTTTCCTCGTGGTAGCTATCACAGTGAATAATTGTCATGCCCTCCTTGGCTACTTGTTCGTGTCTGCGCTGCCCAGTCAGGCTCTCCCAAAGTAGCGAGCAAGGGCTGGGCCGAGGGGGCTGTTACTACCGAGGTGTGTTCTTCCCATCTACAAAGTTTTTTCTTAAGACAGACCTTTTTGTGAGTCAGGATTCCTCTGAAGATCTGATGATCGTGATGGATAGAGAAAAGAATCTGGACAAAATATTTGGTCTGTGCGTTCAGGGGATCCACAGAACCACTAAGTCCTCTTGTGGATGTTACTCACACCCTGATGTGCAGCCAGTTAGGCTTCTCAGTGTTTGCATCTGCAGTTTCCTACCTCAGCTGGGAGGCAAAATTGTGAACCACCATACCCTCCCCCATCTTTATTTACAATCTAGTCTGACTTACAACTTTTAATCAGTGGTCATATTCAGAGTTTACTGCTTCCAAATACTGTGACAGATTGTCTATGTCCAGCCTTCTTGCATGGCTTCTTTGACCTGTTTAGGAGCTCACAGATTGCATCTGTTAGTTTCACACCACGTGTCATCTTAAATCCTCCCGGATCTAGGAGCATATCTTCCAAGCGGAAGGGGAAGAGGATGGTAGAGGGCTTTAGGGAAATAGCTTACAAGCAAAAAGGAGTCTGTAGCACCTCCTGTAGTCCTCAGGAACTCAGTGTAACCTTGTGTTTTTTTGGCCCCTGGTGACAGTGTGGGCCATGTATACACAGTGCCAGGCTGCTGCAGTTTTCACCCATCCTCAGCTTTTTGAGATCAGAGATCATTTTTATTTTTAGATGTACTTAAATAATTACATGGCACTAGGTAATTAGGAGAGGTCAGTCATTTAACATATTTACTTCCTTTTCTACTATGTATTTGGTAGAATTTCTTTGGTAGCCTTTACCTGCCTAAACACATACCGTGTGAAAGGATAGGAATAGAGTCTGTATGGCAGAGCGTGCTGATAGGCAGGTGGTTTTCCTTTGTAATAGAATTGCCAGTCCTTGAACATTTGTAATAATGACTTTTGGTAGATTGCTTCATTTTGATAAGAGGAGATCTAGCCAGTTTTGTAGCGTGTAGGTTTTTCCCATCCATTCATTTACTTAATAGTCAAGGAATAGTCATTCGATAACAAAGAATTTAAGCAATATATATTAAATGTCTAATGGTAGTTGCTAGTTAGGAATATAAAAATGAATAAGACGTGGTCTCATTTTCTAGTACTACTGGGGAGGTAAGATATAAGTAGAAGCTGGCAATTCTAAGTCACTGTGCAGTGTACTATTAAAGAACTACAGATTGAGTATTTGGAGTCCAGAGAAGGGAGAGAGGACTCCCTTCTGGCTGGGTGAGAGGAACCAATTTCTGGGAGACGTATGTATGTTTAAGGAATTCCCTCAAAGGTGGATTAGGAAAGAAGAGAATAGTTATCTGGAGGAAGGAATAGCATAAGCCACGCTCAGAGGTAGGAAAACAAAGGCCTTTGCAATTAAAGGTGAAACTGAACTATTTTACAGCATTCATAAAAAGCTAGCTGGGCCTGAGCCTCTAGGTCAAGCTTTAGGTTGATTTGTGTGCTTGAGTGTGAAAGGTGCATGGGTGACACGCCTGGCAGAACATATATAAGCCATTCTGGATATTGATCTGTTGATTTAGTTTATTAAAAATCGGCTTATTAAAAAATTTTTATTGTTAGCAATGCTTTCTTGCTAATACTTACACTATTAACTTGCGATATCCCTGCTATTAGGGCTAAGCATGTTTTGTTTTTTCTTGTGCTTATATATACCTTTGTTTTTAAGATATTGGCAGTTAGGTTTTCTTAAAATATTGGCTCAGGGTTTTGTGGACAAAACTGGTGAGCCAGAAAATTATCACTTAACACAGGGAGGTTTAATTAGTCTTCAGGCCACCATTTTCAGCCTCTTACGACAAATAAATGCAGTTTCTTACTACTATGAAAAATTATGCTTAAAAATTGTCTCTGATGATGAGAAGTTAGCGGACCTTTTGGTATCTGGGTTGTTCTGTTTCAGCTTCACAAAAGAATTTGGCAGATGAGATCTCAGTCCCCTTATGGTAACTTTTGAACAGAAGTTTTATTTTTTATCCATTTAGTGCCTTGTTTAAGACATCTTATTTCTATCTCAAACTCTTAAAGATATTTTATATTGTATTCTAACTAAACTTAGGTTTTCATAGTTGATCTTTAATCTACTTATTTATTTTCATTGATGGTATGAGATTTTATTTTTGGAGATATATAGCCAACTGTTTTAGCACCTTCAGTTAAAACGTCATGGGTCTGCCCCTGTGTGTGATAGTGTTTCTCTATTTACAAAGATTTCTGCAAATATTTACACGATACACACATTTGTAGTATTATAAAATTATTTCATAGTAGTCGAATATTATTTAGTTGCAGAATTTGTGACTGACTTTCAAACATATGGAAATGTCAGTGTTATTGAGTGTGAACATGAAATATGCAGATTTTCAAAGATACTTTTGCCTCTAAAATATTTCTGTAGAAAGGCAAATTGATCTGAAGTTAGTATGTAGATGCTAAGTGTGGTTGACAGCTTCAGGAGTGGCCAAGTGGGAGCCAGTGGTTGGGGCGTGGGGTACAGTAGTCAGGGTCTGGGGCTTGCTTGTCCTTAGGGCCCATAGACTGGGCTCACATGATGCGAGCACATTATACTGATTTTTACTAGAAAGCCACTTTGTTTTTACTTACCACTTACTTTTATGATACAGGATATTGTCTCCTATTTCTATTAATTTTTTTTCTTGTTGACCTCTTAAAATTTCAAGATAATTTTATACATGTTGTTATTCCCAAATGAACAGATTATTTTACTTCTATTTCATGCCAGTTGCTTTTTAATGGCAGGGAGTAATTCATCTTAATCATATATCAGCAAAATATCTACATACCATTACATGATGGTTTACATTTACAAATGTACCTTTCACAACTACAGTACATGGATTGGCATTCTTGTCCAGAGAGATTCGATATTGAGATGTCTTATTTTTGGATACAAACCTTTTCTCTCTACTCAAAAGGAGTGACTTGCCAGCTAAAGTATATTGTCATTATATGCCCTATTTCAAGTTTATACATGGCCATATTTTTGCCAAATTAAAAATGTTAACTTAAATTTTATATCTTTATGCTTAGGTAGCAGATAATGGTACTTGGATAGTGAGTTTGTCTAATATAAACTTGATATAATGTTGAAAATAACTGGTACTCCCAAGTATTTACATGTATTTAATTTTTTTACCAACTTGCTCAAAATGTAGTACTTAACAGTCAGAGTTTTTAAAATTACTTCTTCCTTTATGGAGATGATGGTGTTGATCCTCTGATAGGTTGTCTGGTCTGAGAGGTTTTTACTAAAAATGATTTCATGCAGATTCTGTCTATACAATAACCAAATCCTGTCTGTAACTAAAGTAAACATTTGTCCAGTATCTCTCCTCTCAACTTCCACCATATGCTACATTACTCTGTTAATAGTGGGTTCATATTACAGTTCCTGCATTCATAGATGTCTTTCTCCTACTGCATTATGAGGCCATAACAATTTATCCACATTTTACCACATGGTGTTAGGTATGTAGTATGGGCTTAGTAAATGCATAGTGAGTTAATGAATGCTGTCGTGGTCAGAGCTATAATTTTTTGCCAAGAAAAAGATGCTAAACTAATGGAATAGATCAGAATCTTTTAGTTTTATTAGCATTTTGCTCAAATTCAAGCTAATTATCTTGTGATGACATTATACTATATTGGTTGCAGAAACTGCAGACGATGGCCACAGAGGAAATAGAACATTATGCATAGTTTAAATTACTACTGTTAACAATATGACTTTTGGTGCCAACATTTTTTTCCAAGAAATCACTTTCTGCAAGTTTTTACAGAATTGAAATCCTATCATTTCAATGATGGAACAGTGTGCAGAAAAGTTGAGAAGATACATTTTTGCATGCAGAAGTGAAAGATTTACCATGGGAAATTACAAAAAAGAAGAGGAAGAAATCATTCTGGAAATATGCATCATAATTTTTTAAATAGATCTGCACCACACATACGTAGTGTGTCTGAGTGTGCTCTAGAGGTGAAAGGGCCCAAAGCTGCAAGCATTTGGCTCTCCTCTGTGTGGGCCCCGGGGATGTGGGGGTGAATGGGACCTATTCTCAAGGAATTCGCAGGTAAAGAGAGACACTCCAGACTTTTTTCATATAATCTAACACAGATTATAGAATTCTTTTTATTTTCACAGATGTTTAAATATTTAAATATATATACATATAAGTGGCTGAGAAATCAACCAGACTTGTTATGCTCTCAGTCTGAGTGGTACCTTCTTTACAAGGGTTTGCGGAACATAGACTGGTGGCTGCAGAGGCAGGGAACTGTGTGAATTGGTGATGATATGGGCGTGGCTCTGCCAGAGGAGTGTTAAGACAGAAGGCTGACCTGTAATTAAGGATGAAACCAAAAGCCAGGTGCAAAAAGAAGAGGTCAATTAGGGTTTGTTCTTTATAAGCATCATAGGACCTTTGTAAAGTGCCGATTACGTATAGGCAGGGTGAAGTGGGAAACAATCCCTTCCTCGTGGAGCTTACCTACCTGAGCATCCTCATGGGTCCTTGTTCAGAAGCTCAAGGATTAAAACAGTGAGATAAAACTCTGGGGGAAATATTTTTTAATGTGACGTTTTAAATTTTTTTTTCTTTTTTAGAAAATGGCTCGAAAGGGTAAATGAAGCTGGAAAAATACACAGATGCAGCCTTGCAGCGTCTCCCAGATGTCTGAGGATAATATTCCCGAGATAAATTGATCTCCTTGGATTAGGTAACTGATCATAATGAAGAAAATTAGTCTTAAAACCTTCCGGAAATCTTTCAACTTGAATAAAAGTAAAGAAGAGACGGATTTCATGGTAGTCCAGCAACCCTCACTCGCCGGTGATTTTGGAAAAGACGACTCCATATTCGGTAGCTGCTATGGGAAAGATATGGCCAACTGTGATATCAACAGCGACGACGAGAAAAGTGGAAAAAACAGGCCAAAAGGGGAAAGCCTGATGGGCACGCTGAAGAGACGGCTTTCGGTGAAGCAGAAGCAGAAGGGTAAGGGCGGCGCGGCGGCGGGGGGCGCGGACGAGGACAGCTTCTCCTCGGCCTCGGCGCCCCTGGTCTTCAAGGACGTGAGGGCCCCGAGGCCGGTGAGGTCCACGTCGCTGCGCAGCCACCACTACAGCCCCACGCCGTGGCCCCTGCGCCCCACCAACTCCGAGGAGACGTGCATCAAAATGGAGGTGCGCGTCAAGGCCTTGGTGCACGCGTCCAGCCCGGGGCCCGCGCTGAACGGCGTCCGGAAGGACTTCCACGACCTTCAGGCCGAAACCGTGTGCCAGGAGCCGGGCAGCGCGCTCAGGAGGTCGGCCTCCCCGAGCGGAGACCTGCGCCTGCGCCTGGACGAGCACGTGCCCGTGGTCCTCGGACTCGTGCCTCAGGACTACATCCAGTACACTGTGCCTTTGGACGAGGGCGTGTGCCCGCTGGCGGGGCCGCGCGGCTGCTGCCCGGACGGCCCCTCCCCCATGGAGGTGTCCGCGGTGCCCGCGGGCAGCGGCCCCTGCCCCGGAGACGAGGCCCCGGGAGACCCGGCCCCGGCCGCCGCCGCCGCGGCCGTCTTCGCGGACGGGCCGGTGAGCGGCCTGCTGGTCGGCACCACGGGCGTCCTGCTGCAGAGCCCCCGGGTGGGCCGCGCCGCGCCGCTGTCGCCGCTGCTGCCACCCATGCAGGCCAGCCCGCTCCGCGGCAGCTTCGGCGCGCTCGCCGGCGCCGGTGCCCACGCGGCCGAGAGCGTGCGCTGCCACCTGCACTTCGACCCCACCTCCGCCCCCGGGGTCGCCCGGGTCTACGACTCGGTGCAGAGCAGCGGCCCCCTGGCCGTGACGAGCCTTACGGAGGAGCTGAAGAAGCTCGCCAAGCAGGGCTGGTACTGGGGCCCGATCACGCGCTGGGAGGCCGAGGGCAAGCTGGCCAGCGTGCCCGACGGCTCCTTCCTGGTTCGGGACAGTTCTGACGACCGCTACCTTCTAAGCCTGAGCTTCCGCTCCCACGGCAAAACGCTTCACACTAGAATCGAGCACTCAAACGGTAGGTTTAGCTTTTACGAACAACCAGACGTGGAAGGACATACGTCTATAGTTGATCTAATTGAGCATTCAATCAGGGACTCTGAGAATGGAGCTTTTTGTTACTCGAGATCTCGGTTGCCTGGGTCTGCGACCTACCCCGTCAGACTGACCAATCCGGTGTCGCGGTTCATGCAGGTGCGCTCCTTGCAGTACCTGTGTCGCTTCGTCATCCGCCAGTATACCAGGATAGACTTAATTCAGAAACTGCCTTTGCCAAACAAAATGAAGGATTACTTACAGGAGAAGCACTACTGAAAGGTCGTTGAGAACCCTGCATCTTGCACTTTGGGAATGAGAAAAAGAGATGGAAATCCAGTTTACAAACTCTCATTGCTATCAAATTTTTTTTTTTTTGCTGCCATACTTTTTCAGTTTTATGTGTAAAAGAGTCATCAGTTTGGTTTGGGGGTGGGCAAGTGTTGGCAAGGCATCTTGGGTTTATTTTGGCCCTCTAGAAAGGGAAGTCTTGAGGTTTTAGAAGTGAATTATCTTTCATCAGTGTGTGGAATAATCACAATGTGAATTATCAGTTTCTCCTTAAACGCCCCCACTCCCCACCCAAGTTCTTTGCTGCTATCCACTGTGATTTTTATGCATTAAAAGCACATTTTGTGTGTATTCAACCCTAAGTAAAGCTGAATGGAACTTAGAGAATGGAATTTGTTATGTCTCTTTAAATGGCCCATTTTCCAAGAGAGCGTTGAGTAAACATACCGGTGTGATAAAACAATTTACACATACACTGAAAATTATTTTTGCTCTCATACTTTACAAAGATTTATTTAGAATTAGAAATTGGCATAATCTTGGGTAATGGAATGCAGATCTGCAACATACACTTATCTCTAAATTATTTTTAAGGTTGTGCTGTTTTTTTGGTTGTGAAAAGTTAAATTTTTCTGTTGCCTTCACTTTCATTTTGTGGTTTGTCTATTTTAATAAATGGCCTTACATTGAAAAATCGTAAGTGTATACCACCAATTTAGAAATTGTTGCCTTTTCTGTCATAAGCTCTAGTACAAATTGGCATAACATATAAATACCAATGGAACTAGAACTATTATTAAAGAAATAGTATATGACCATAGTTTCCTGTGATAGCAGTTTTTTTTTGTTACCTACTTTGGTAAAACGTTTTATCTGTGATTTCTTTCGTGTAGGCAACATTTTCTTGGATGAACTTGATGGAGAACTGATTTCATAAGTGAACTAGATTCTCTTGCAACGTTAAAGTTTATATGAAGCTTTAAATTGATTTGAATAGAATGAAAACATTGTTTTAAAGTTGGATTTGTATTTTTCTTTTATGTAGTCTCTATGAAGATGTAGATTTGACTCTTTCTTCCCTCCACCAAAAAAAAAACCCAAAAAGCAAAAAGCAAAATAATCCAATGACTTTAGTTGAAAAATTGTAGAAATTGTGGAGCACCATGTAAGAAAAATATTAAAACCATATCATATGTGGAAGTTTTAATTGCCTACCGTATATACTGCCATTTAAAAAAAGGTCTTCTGTTTGTTTCTTTTTAATCTAGCTAAGTCTTAAGTAAATTTACATCATTACTTTATTTCTTTGAACCAGTTGTTCGGGCGGGCATGTGTTATCCTCAATACCTCTTAGTTTTTTTGAAATGCAGTGCTTACTCACTGCATTATTCTTTAGTATTTTGGGATTACCCCATCCAGAAAATGTTTCCAGCTACACAGCTTTAAGGGAAAATAACTAAGTTTCAGATGAAACATGTAGTTTAAGACATTTCTTCCTTTGCCACTCAGTTTTCTCTTACCCCATGTAAGAACAAGAGTAAAGGTCTTCAATCAAACTTAATGTCTTTGTCATTCAGACATACCAATATCCCCACATTTTCCTGTTTTTTTAGGGTCACAACAGAGAATTATCAAGAAAAGGCACAATGCCATAATATTGTGTTACTGTATTTTCATTTAAAGGGGAAAAGGTACTTAATTTTGGTGGACTGTTGATTGTACCGAGTCACAAAGACTCCTCTTTCATTTTTCTGATATGTTTTCACGTAATAAGATGGAATATGGCGTATACTGTAATAATATAATTTAAATGTTCACGATAAGCTTTTGGATTAAGAACTATTACAGAGTTGTAAACTTATCAAATTAATGCAAGACATCTAAACTATTTTTTTGCAAAACTATTTATTTTTAAACAATTTAGAATATATCTAGGGTGAGTTAAAAGTCCCTGTGCATCTACATTAGATGGCAGGTATTGTCACATAGTCACTGTGTATTAATAATAAATGTGGAAATGGCTTCTTCACATTTCTAGAAGCATTTACATGTCCTCTTTGTGATGTCATGGTGCACAGAGGTCTTTGGACTGCCCTGAACCCCGTCTTATCATGTGGGCATAGCCTGTTCCCCACGTTTTCCTCATGATACCATGTGTTTAAAATCTAATCAGTTAGTCTCACATTAGGACTATTCTGAATTTCACCTAAATGTTTTAAAAATTATATTTTGTGTTGTTATGGAGGGCAAGTCTTGATCCTGTTCTAATTCAGAAAGCCAGTTTTTTATGTACTTTTGTAGATTCGTAATAAATACTTTAAAATGCCCTATTCTAATCCAATTTGAAATTGCTAGGGTCTGAAGTGTAAAAATGAAAGTATTTGTTGAGAAATTACTTACAAACAAAAGACTGTCATGGTATTTTCTGCTTTCATGTAGAGAAAACCATTTGGCATAGGCAGCATCTTACAATGTGAAAGATTGGCTCAATACGATACACTAAAACAGTCTGGTTAAAAATGGAAAGGGGAAAAAGAAGCCTTCATCCTGTAGTTCAGTCTGGATAATGATTTGGGTAAGTTTCTGGATTCTGTTGAACGGTGGCTTAGATGACATGGACACAACCTGTAAGTGATTTTTAAGTATGTGCTTCTGAGCTCTCAAGGCAAGAAAAAGGAAACAGGAAGGTTGTATCCATTTGAGACAATAAATGAATCAGTTTTTTTTTAAATCAAATAGTTCATCACAAAACATGATGGAGGCCAGAAGCTACTGCCAGGCTTACTAGGACACTATTATGCATTTTTATAAATAATAAAAAGTACTTGAAAAATATCTCACTCTTTCTCTTTCTAAGGAAACTCTTCTCTTTCTACTTGGTGCAATAATCTGAAAATTTAGAAGGTCAAAAAGATATCACAGGAAATGATTGTAGAACTAAAAACAGTTTTTAAGGAAACCAATTACCCAGGGCAACCATCTTGCTGTTGAAAAAAATCATGTGCCAAAAGGCGAAATCATTGGCATTTAGGAAATAAAATACAAAATATACATTATAACTTCTGAGCCAGTATTATTGAAACAGGATAATTCAACTAAAATCTTAAATAGGTTATATGCAATGTCTCTGCTAGTGCTACAAGTCTAAATAACAATGCTTTCAGAAATGCCAAATTTAATTCTTTATGAGAGATATTTGCTTTATGAATGATCCAAAATAATATATTTTAAATTTAATGGCTTTTCAGTGAATGTGAAATTTTAATTTGAAAATGAAATAACACTACCAGCAATAGACAGTTTTGTTAAAAACTTAATAGGGAACAATTGCCAGTTCCGTAAGTAACTTTAAATTCTAAAATGAAGTATTGGTACGCTAGTAATCACAAATTTGGTTTCTTTGAATGCTTTTTTAATCCTATGAAAGTTTTTATAGACATACTTTTTATTAATCATAACATGGCGAATGTGTAGTTGCTGTTTCTGAAAGGTAATCCAAACTATACATCCAGAGGTGATGAAAAATCCTATAGGATTTTGTAAAAAGTATACACATTGGGGTAAAGAAATTTTATAGTCATTGGAGTGCCATGGAGTTAATACTTGCAATCCAGATTGCTGTAGTTTACACTTTTTCTGTATGTTTCAAATCAGGTGTGTACCATTTGTACTGAGAACACTACAATGAATTATCCAAAGTCCATTGATTTTAATATGTGTTTTGGTTTGTAAACAAATTATAGTAATTTCTTGCACATTTTTGGAAATTATATAAGAATTTATGTATCTGCTTCTAGATACAGTGTGTAAATAAAAATTTCATTCACACATCTGCCTTGTGTTCTATTTAATACCCAGACACAGAGTTTAATTTTAATTGATTCAGGGTTAACTAGATAGTTTCTGGATGACCCATCAACTGGGCAGACACTGGAAGGTAGGGACCAGGAACTTTTAGTAAAAAGGGAAAGGTGAAATAGTGTCACTCGTGGAAGACATTAAACAAACCAGGCATCAGCCAGTGTTACCAGTACCCTAAAGCCTTCAACATAAAGGCTGGAGTGAGTTGGCAGAACATCTATTAAAGACTAAGTCATAAAGCCTCACTAAAAGAAGGTCAGGCTAAATGATGAAATGTTTGGATGTGGCATTTTATAAAAACGTCCTTTTTACTTAGTAGTATTTTGTAAAAATAGAACCAGGTTATCAAAGTGCATTGTGTAGAAGTCCTTTAGAAATCTTTTATAGATAAGAATGATGTCTCAAATACCTGAGTGTAATATGCTTTTAAACTTTTTTATACCACGTTGGGTCAAATGTTCACTCTAAAATCTTGTTTTAGTATTTTTGACAAGTCCTTTTAAAAACTAGCTAAATCAAAGATAAATTTTAAAGTGACCTTTTTCAGAATACATCACAAATTTTGACATTCATAGATTCCAAATAACATGATGTTCTCACCACGTTTTCCAGATCTGGTGTCAAGTGGCAGCTTTGGCCTTAATGGTATACTTAATCTGTCTACTCGTGGTGGTGCTAATGAAATAGAAAATTATGGGAAGAGAATGATCTGGTCTGAAGAAGTGAAAAAGGCTACACTTTACAAAGTTACGCCATAGCCAGGTAAACATTTTTATTCTCATCTACCCCTTCTCAAGGGTCATTCATTCAACAAGCAGAGCGATGCGCTTTGTGCCGGGGACAGAGCGATGCGCTTTGTGCCGGGGACCCTGTTTGTGCCGGGGGCTTCTGAGAGCCCAGGAAGGAGAGGGTTCTGTGCACACGCTCTGAGGATGGGAGACGTGTGGCCACGGTAACAGATAGTCAGTTGAGAACATTGGAACTTCCACAATGTATCATGCTGATCATGGTCCATTTCTTTGACTCCCAGTGCCACCCCTACATTTAAATGCTGACCTTTTGTTTTAACCTCACAGATTTTACTTGATGCCTTTTTGAGGCTTTCGACTTAGGAGTCACAGACTTTAACCGTCATCTCACTTGACCTCACGCCTTACCGTCTGCTGTTTTAACTTACGGTCTAGTTGTCTTTCTTTCAAATCTTTAGCTTCGTTCAAACTTCATTATTTTTCAAAAACCTTCCTTTAATTCTAGCTTTCTCATATGACAGTTTCTGGTTTTTAGGGTTTCCTAACCCTCTGAAACATCTTTTTAAAACATCTGACTCATGTTTTCCTCCTCTTTTTGTGTGACTTGTGGCGCTAATTGATGCTTTTGTCCTCACTGCCTTGTTCCCTCCCTCCAGTCCCTCCTCCAACCCCTCCCCCACAAAGTCCGTGACCCGCTGGCAGTCCGGGGGTGGACACTGGTCAAGAACCCAGGAGTAGTGAGCCTCTGAGTATGTATCCATTTCTGGGCATAGTTGACTCTGTAGCCAGACTCCCGGAGTTACTTTAGTTTGAAGTTATATTTTCTCTGCTTAGAACCAGGCAGCCTCATGGCGTCTTCTAGAAGGGCAGAGGAGAGCTGGTGGGCAAGGCTCTCAGGAAGTAAGAGCCCAGGGGAGGCTCTCGGAGCAAGGGTTCTTGCAGGGCCTGTGCAGGGGCTCCTTTCCCTGCCTCAGGCTGAGTTTGAGTGGGCAAGCCCTGTCCTTGGTAACTGACTTGCAAATAAGGGTAAATCTTACCTTGAAAAGGAGACTTTCTGATCATGAGACATGGAAGGAAGTTCTACGGAGCACATATCTATATATAATGCAGCCTTTTCCTGTTCTCTGACTTGGTTCTGAGTCTGAGAGACACTAGGACTTGATTACCAGCGTGGGTCACAAGTGAATTCATGAAGTGTTCTCTAAGTATATGGAGTTCCATCCTAGAATCCCACGGAAGAGAATCCCTTACCTTGTGTAAACAGTCCACTCCCAGGCCCCAGCCTGCTCCTGACAGTTTTAAGAAGTGGAATCTCTAGCCGTCTGTACTTTAAGGCCGCCCTGCTGGAGCCCCTGTTCACCTGGCAGTGCCTTTGCCACAGCCTGTTCCTCCCTCCTCACTGCAGTCCTTGCCGATCTTGGGTTCTTGTGCCTGGCAGACGGTGAGCTCCATTCGGCCCACAGAATTACCAGCTTACAGTGGCTGTGAGGTGTGACAGTTGCCTAGAAAACTAATAGATGTTTATCATTAAACACCAAAGAATCCATTGTTCTGCAGTAAATGGGTTCTCTGGGAATCTCCTGGATTCAACAGATGAAACCAGAGAGCTGGGGTTCACACCCTTCATCTTTTAATAACTGCAAACATAAATTGTGCTAATATATGTACTGCTAAAGCCTGTCATAGCTTCACATCCTCCAAACAGCCCTATGCAAGGCAGACAACTTATCTGTCTAAGAGAAACTGAGGCACAGGTTCACCCCCAAGGTCACAAATACAGTGATAAGAACCAGGCCACAAACGCACGTCTAATTCCAAAATCCGCTGTCCTATTCAATCGAATGCATTTCCTCTATTCAGGGTTTTCTGTTATTTGTGTGATTGTCAGAAAAAAAGAACATAAGCAAATGAATGACCTCCTGCTTTCTTCTCCAAGGGACTACTCCAGAGCTTACACGAAAGATAATTCTAAACAATGACAGGTAACCATCTATGGAGGCCTGACTAGTGGCCCATTTGATGTTCTCTGTCTTCATTGCTGAGGATGGCAACTCAGCCTTTGCTTGTATGGCCTTGTAAAGGTTCACTGAAAACAAATGCCTCACATATAGAAACAAGGTTTGGTGGAGCTGGATTGTACCTCTTGGGAGGACCTCACATGTTTGTGCGTAAGGAGAGGTGTTATATCTGCTTTTTTTGCTAATGTATTTGGTCATCTGCCTGAGCCATTCATTTGTGCTCTCTTTTGCTAGGAGCCGTGGTTTTGCTTTATGGCAGACGTGAGACTCCACACTCGTCTTTTGTTTCCTATACCGATGCTTAGCCAATTCTCTTCTGCTTCTGTCATTTTGTAGTAATCACATCCTGGCAAGAAGGTCCATCTGAAAGCTATCCGCGAAGTTCTAGCTGTACTTACCCTCTGTGTTCTAGCTTCTCTGCTTGCACCTTTAGGTGGGTAGAAAAACTCACCACATACGTTCATATGGTAACTGCTATGATAAATCTAAGGGAAATTCTCCCCACTTCTCTTCTGGTAAATAGCTTTTATAAAATTCCTGGCTCAAATTCATTAACAAAAAAATAATTTTGTTATAAGTGGGTTGGAAGAATTGTCCTAAACCCTATCAGCATTATGCTCCAGTACCTAACAAAATTCTCTTTTCAAAAATGAGAATTGATTTCTTTGGGGCAGAGATTTAATCCCTAAAATATTTCCTCCAGCCTTAGCATGTGAATAGATTAAAAGGAAGAGGAAATTTATGTTGCCAAAACTATTCCAGTAAAGGTTAAAATCTACAACCTCCTTTCCTCCCTTTGATACAGCACCGATTTTCCTTACGGATCGCACATGAAACCATTTTCATGGAAACAATATGGCAAAACATGGTGCAAAAATATATATCAATACTTGTCTCTGTTGTGACCTCAGGGCTGTCAGTAAAATGTGCTCACATGACACTAAATAATGTACAAAATGCTATTTTCACAGCTTTAATCACTTTCTAAGCTGGTTTGTTGATTTATGCAGGCAATGGCCGTATTTTTCACCTGAGAATGCCTCTTAAGGAAACGACAAGGTTGTGAAACCAAACTTTGATCTACTTCCTTTGATTATGGGAAAAATACTAATGTGA